AGCTGTGATCGTGATTTTAGTTAAATATACTGCGTTTCCAAACGGCGCGCAAATGCTGGCAATAATCCAAGCCGATCGCGCGCGTTTGTGTAGCCAACGTAGAGTAGGTCATTTACAGTTACACTGGCTGTACATTGAAATTTTCGCTTCCTGGGACCGCTGCCATGTCATTTTTGGTAGGTTATAATTCCTCTATTATAGACCCAAGAGACTGCATGAGACAGCTTTGTTTGGCTGCCAGAAGCCTTCACAGAGGTAAGAATCAGTTGAATTCCTGTCATCATTGAGTTCCATATTTTAGCCTTCTCTACCGCACTCGATAACCCACTCAACTACGATTTCAATTACAACTTCAGCGAAAATTTCATAGCCAAGCACCAAAAGCGGTTGTTTCAGTGGAACACATCACTTTTAGAAGCACAGAGACGTCGTGTTCAACATGGACAAAAACATCGAGCAAATGTATGAGGATTGCCTTTCCTATTCTCTTCGCCCTTCATATTGTTTTATAGATAGACCGATGCTTATCAAGGCTGAAAGCAGCCCTCGAGAATCAGAGGCGAAGTGTTGTACCCATTGGAAGCAGTGTAAATGGTCTACATGGAAAAAGTTCAGACCTAGATCTGGTGAGCTTTTGGTACTGTCGTGTAATCATTTTTTATTGAGCATTCAAGGTTGTTATAACAGACAACAATGATGCACAACGACAAGATTTCTGTGAGAAATTTGGTCGTAGCGAGCGTTTTCGGAGGTTAGTGGTTTTGTTTTCTGTAAAAATTTTACTTATTGAAGCGCAGTTTAGGCATCAAATGGGCATTATCACTGCAGCCCTTAGGAAAGCTGATCTGATCGAACTTGCATCAGTTCAACAAATCTTGTTCTCCGTGGTAGGATCCTTATATTATTTTATTTATTTATTTTCCTTGTTTTTCTTTTTCCTTTGTTTTTCTTAGTTTTTAGAATGTCGATTTTTTGTGCGAATCGAACAAAGTCTAGATTTTTACCTAATTAATCAAGTCAAAAACAACTACAGCCTTGTACCATTTCACT